GAAGCTGATGAAACGTCATCACTCGAGCTTTCACCGCCGCTAATTTATAGCACACGTCTAGGACCGCTAGCGAAATCATCCGTTCATCGTTGTTTGAAGTTTCTAAGCCTCTGCTTTCTGCTTGCTACGGCTGTCTATCAGGTCCTTTCGCAGAGATCTCCGAAGTGGAAAACCAGAAATTTCTCATAATTTTGAATCTTGTAACATAGAAAATCCATATAAAATTAACCCAAAATTTCCAACCAACTCAAATCTTTCCAAAACGAGATATTTTACCTAAAACCGAGTTATCTGGCCCTTGAAGGAGCTAAAAAATGAATCATTTCTTGAAAAGATCCAAGGATATCCAAAATTAACGGTATTTGCCCCTTTTTAGCACGAAAGAGGTTAAAATTCTGCGAAAAGGAAAAGGAAAAACTAAAGAAACATAACTAATACATAAAAGAAAACCGAACAAAGTCGCAAAGAGAACCGAACAAGTCAGATTTACTAACCGAGTAAAATCGGTATCAAAATTTACAGAACAAAAGAAGAAAAGATAAGAAAGAAGTAGAAAGAAACTCTCTCTCTCTCTCTCAAAGATAGAGTCGAGAGAAGCGAGAAAAAACCTAATTTTTCACAATCATTGTCATTCCTTAACCATTTTTATTCTTTAAATAATTTTATCATGGTTATATTTTATTTTAAATTCTAATAATATTTAATAATATTTTTATTTAAAACTTGTTTAGATATTATTATTAGACATTTTCATTCATTAACAAATTTCCAAAATAATAATATATCATATGCCAATATTATTAACATGTAGAGTATTTATTACTCTATTTAATATTCTATTACTAATTTATTTTTCTTTTTCTTTTTCTATATGAAAATTATAATCATATTTTATACAATCTATTACGATTATATTTGTAAGAAAATTAAAATCCTAGTTATTATTATTTTTTGTTAACTTAAATTTGTTTATTTTATTGTTATAATCTAGTGTATTTATTTTATAATTTATTTTTATTTTTACTTTTGCTTCTTATTCGTATTTGTTTAATCTTATTATAATTTATTCTTTATCCAGTTATTTTTTTATTTTATTTCTGACCTCAAATTCTCGATCTATAATGAGACTGTTTGTGAGTATGATATAATTTGTTTTTCAGAAAAATAGGAATAAAATAAAAAAGTAATAGAAGCTACGTAAATTCTAAAAATTTATATACAAATAATAATATATCATACTCTCAATATTATTAATATATAAAATATTCACTATCTTATTAGACAATCAATTATTATTTTTATTTCTTTTTTTATATAACAATATAATATATATAAATATATATATATATATATTTAGTTGTAAAACTTTCGTAATCAGTATTTCATCTTCGAAAATATATTAGCCAGCTATGATATCGATCTACCTTCTCTTTTTTATTCTTTCTTTGTTTTTGTTGTAATTATATAACCTATGTTTTTAAATTTTGGTCTGGCTGGTTTCTAAATTTTTTCGGCAACTTTTTTTTTTTTTTCTAAGCCAAATTTGTTTTTGATTAAGACTCCAATTGGTTTTCTAGGCCAAATTTGTTTTTGAGTAATACAATGGGCTAAAGCCCGTTTTGCTAAGGTATTTTTGCAAAAATGACCTAAAATTTGATTTGAAATGCAAATCTAACCCACAAAAACCACATTTTCAATATTTGCCATTTTGTGTCCAAACAATCCTTCATAGTTTCAGTTATTCACGAAATTGCCATTATTTTTAATTAATTTATTTTCTTTTCAGAAATCCAAATGACCAACTAATCCTCATCTTTCTCACTTGTTTACGAAAATGCCATCATCATCAATTCACCCAACCACCATTTTCAATCAATTTTGAAGCTTTAATGGCACCAAAAACCCATTTTTGAGTTTGTTTAGCTTATTATTTTCTCTTCAAGCTTCTATTCTTCCATTTTCTCTTTATTTTCTTTCCAAAAATTCTATAATTTGTCTATTAAAAAGTTAAAGTTCATATATATTTCTATATTCCGGCGAGTTGGTTGTTGCGGTTGTGCTTCTTTCATTGTGGCTAGGATCGAAGATTTTGACCAGAAAAGAAGCTAAAAACGAGTGGTAAGTCGGATTTTCAGTCAATTTTAGTGTTTTTCAGTTATGGGCTTCGAAAGTAGACTTCTCTCGATCCGAATGAAGTCTACTAGTCAACGCCCAGGTTAGTTTTGCAATTGACCGCATGAAAAAGTAGACTTCTTTTGGTCCAAATGAAGTCTACTCCATTTCTTTTGATAACAAAAAATAGAGTAGACTTCTCGAGTAGACTTCTTTAGAAGCAGGTCATTTTTGCAATTGACCAACCTTTGACTTTGTAGAGTAGACTTCTCTATGCAAAGTAGACTTCTCGGAGAAGTCTACTTTCGAAAGTAGACTTCTAGCAGGTCATTTTTGCAATTGACCAAAAAGTCAAATATTTTTCAACTGCAAAAATGACCTGCGAGAAGTCTACTTACAAAAGTAGACTACTTTTCATAGAGAAGTCTACTAATCTTTTGGCAATTGCAAAACTAACCTGCGAGAAGTCTACTTTTATCTGAGAAGTCTACTTTTCTTGTTATTTTTTTAAAAATTCATTTTTATACAATATATAACGAATTTTTAAGATTTCGTGATCATAAGCTTCTGTTATTAAGTTTTCTTGCTTATGTATAAGTTTTACATGTTTATATTTTATAGGTATAGTCGAATCAGTTTTTATGTTTTATATGATACTTAGCTTATTAAGAGTAGACTTCTTAGTCTACTCTAGAAGACTACTAAGTAGACTTCATCCGACTTTCAGAGAAGTCTACTTATTCAATTTTGATGTCTAATGTGGTTTAGATTTTGTTTTTTTTTTCACAGAGAATGGTTCACATACCCGCTGTTTATGGAGAATGGATTAAGAGTGAATCAGTGTGGCAGTTCGAGGTGGATAATAGCAAAGGAAGGTGAATGTTGTTCTTAAGAGATGGTTGCACACATGGTGAGCTTCTTGGTGAATGTTGGCAAAGGAGGGCAGATAGCAAAGAAGGGCGAATGTTGCCACCTTTAAGTTATATAAAATTAATGTCTTTAAGAAGTCTACTCGAGACAGAAGAAGTCTACTTCAGAAGTCTACTCGAGACAAGATAAGTCTACTCGGTTGACAAGTTATGTGATATAAATGGGAGAAATGTCCCTCTGAATCACTTTTAAGTTATGTAAAATTAATGACTTTTAGAAGTCTACTCGAGACAGGAGAAGTCTACTTCAGAAATCTACTCGAGACAAAAGAAGTCTACTCGTTTGACAAGTTATGTGATATAAATGGGAAAAATGTCACTCTGAATCACTTTTAAGTTATGTAAAATTAATGTCTTTAAGAAGTCTACTCGAGACAGGAGAAGTCTATTTTGTAGAATACATAAACACAGATAATTTAGGAATATGATATAAAACATTCAATGCAATTCAACATTACATAGAAAATAGCCCTCTAAACAAACAAACATTGAAGGATTACTGATTATAAATCTTAAAATTGGCATAAGAAATTACTACTAAACTAAAATCTTTGAAAACTATGTATGCAACTGAAGTCTGCTTGAGAAGTCTGATCTAGATCGAGAAGTCTACTCGAGAATTCTAAACTTTTTGAACCTTCAAATCACTTAAATCTGGCAGAGACAAGCAAGAGCTTTGTTGAGATCTGTAGAACAAAACCATAAATATAAATAAGGTCAGATCTGCAACAATAAGAAAAGAGAAATGTTAAAATTTAGATTTGCAACATAATCTACTATATTTATAACATTCAGATCTGCAAAAAAAATCAACAACATTCAACTTTGCAACAATAACAAAAAATTTAGATCTGCAACAGAATTCTGATCTACAACAAAATCTACAAAATCTATACAACAATAAACTCAGATCTACAAAAATAAACTTAGATCTACAACAATAAGCTCAAATCTATAAAAATAAGCTCAGATTTGCAATATGAACACAAAGCAAACAAAAAGTAGAACACAAAAGCTCAGATTTGCTTATCACTACCATAACCTGCAAGTGAGAGGAGGTTGAATGCAAGATAGAGAGGATGGAGAGGATATTGATAGCAATAGAGGAAGGAGAAGAAATTCATGGCCAGAGAGAAGGGAGAAGTGAAAGAGGCGTTTTTAGATAGAGAGAGACTTTATTGTTAATACAATTAGGATAAACTCTCCTTATATATGTAGAAAAAAATTCGTTTAAGTAGACTTCTCCAAGAAGTCTACTCGAGAAGTCTACTTTAGAAACCGAGAAGTCTACTCGAGAAGTCTCTTAGCATTGATTTTTATCCTAATTTATCTATGATGATTTAAATTGATTATTTTTTGTCAAATTTTATTTTTAATAGGTGTAAAAAGTATATATTTGTTGTTATGTATCTAATTTTTTTTATCAAATTATTTTTTATGATTTTTAAAATTAATTGTAAACATATTATTAGAGAGTAGACTTCTCCAAGAAGTCTACTCGAGAAGTCTACTTAACTTCTCGAGTAGATTTCTCTGGGATAAAATAGTAATTGAGGCTCGCATTTTTTTTGTTTGGTCATAAGGGTTAAAGTTGTAATTTCACTATCCCTGTGAGTTATTTTTGTCAAATATGCAATAGGGGGTCTAGTTTTGCATTTCAATTCAAGTTTTGAGTCATATTCAGCAATTCCTCCAGGTATCATACGTGATATTCAATTCTCATTTTGTGAACCGGAAATTAATGCTTTCGAAGCTTGTAGTTAGAGCTCGAATGTCACCGATGATACCGTATAGCTCTGAGAAGTCTGTTGTCGTAGTGAGTGTCTTAATCATCTGCACGGAGTCAGATTCGAGGTTGAGTTTGTTAAAATCACGTTTCAGTGCATCCTCCATTGCCGATCGGATGGCCAGCGCTTCCGCCATAAAAGAGGATTGGACGAAATGGGAGATCACGGTACATTAGATCTGTTTGCTGATCTGCTCTCCGTCGAAGATCCAGGCCAATCCTGCCGTCCTGCACTCTATTCTCCATGCCACATCTGTCTTACAGAAAACACAGGTATCATCGCTTTGTCTTCCTATAGGTTGGCTGGTTTTGTGGATCGGGTCTTTGATCAAAGATGGTTGAGCTGCTGACCATTCCACAACATCGATGATTGCTTTGTTAAGCACCTCCACCTCTGAATACGCTATGTTGCTAAAAAAAAGATTGTTTCGTGCTGTCCAGAGATTCCATAGGATCTAAGAGGCAAGAGGTGTTGTCGTGATGTTATGGGGAGGGAGACAAATGAGTTGTCGAAGCTGAGTCCATCCAGAAACAAAGTTCCAGTCATGAGCTGGTACGATTGATCCATTGAAAGGTGCTATCTCCCACACTATCTTCGCAAACAGATAGTGAAGGAAGACATGTGCGATGTATTCAAGCTCTCCACAGCGTATACATGTCGGGTCTAGGAGTATCTTCCTGTATTCAAGTCTCTCTCCAACAGGAAGTGCTCCCCTTGCTGCTTTCCACAAGAACATTTGGATCTTTGGTTCTGTCTTAACCTTCCAAATATCAGGTATCCATTTTATCTCTTTCGCTATGTCCACTGTCTTGTCTAGGTTCTCGGATGATCTTCCTTCCAACGCTGCATAATAACCCATTTTTGTAGTGTAGTCTCCCGAATTATCCTTTAACCAGATTAACTTGCCTTCTAATCTTGAATTGCTTGGTTTCAGGCGTAGTATCTCTGCAGCATGGTTTGGTAGATACTCAGAGACTCGTCTGGTGTCCCACGGCGTGGTGTCGAGGAGGAAGAGATCAGCAACTTGAAGGTGTCGAGGAGGAAGAGATCAGCAACTAGGAGGTCTCGTCCCACGAGTATACCCACCCATCCATGTGATGTCGAGGAGGACTACTTGCATTCTAGGAAAGGTGTATTTGGGCAGTATTTGTCAAAACATATTCTTGCGAGGAGACATTGTGGGTTGGAATGTAATCTCCAGCTCAACTTTGCTATGAGAGCATCGTTCAAACAAGGTATATCTCTAAAACCCAAGCCTCCCACTTCTTTTGCCTGAGTTTCTCATCTTGTTTTGTATCCCACCAAAATCTGACAAAATTCGATTGTATACACTTGCAGAGAGAAACTGGGAGCTTGAAGCATGTCATAGCGTGGGCTAGCATAGAAGCTAACACACTTTTCAGCATTGTCATTTTTCCTGCTGGGGACAGGAGCTTGGAGGACCAGGAGATAGATTTCTGTCGGATTCAGTCAACTATGCCCGCAAAGAGATCATTCTTTTTCCGACTGAAGTGCTCAGGTAAGCCTAAGTATTTTCCAACTCCCCCCTCCTTTGTTATGGCCAGTTCGTGCTTTATACTTTCTCTTAGGTCGCTAAGAGCTTTATGCGAGAAAGTAATAGCAGACTTAGCTTTATTGATGGATTGGCTTGAGGCTTTTTCATACTTAGAGAGGATTTCCTTTAAGTCTTGGCTATTTTTCTTGTTTTCTTGGCAGAAAAACATCGTATCATCGGCGAATAGCAAATGATTGATTCGGGGCACCCTCTAGCAACACTTATTCCCTTCATCTTTGAGGCAGAGTCCAGAGAGGACCTCACTGCAGAGTATGGAGATGTTGGGGGGGGGGGGGGGGGGGGGGGGGGGGGGGGGGATAGAGGGTCCCCTTGGCGGATACCACGCTTTGGCTGAACGTTTCCATATGGTGCGCCATTGATCAGGTAGGAATATGAAACCGTAGTTACACATTGCATGATCCAGTTGATCCATTTAGCCTGAAAACCTAATCTTTCAAACACTCGTTCTATAAAGCTCCATTATAGTATGTCATATGCTTTGCTCATGTCAGTTTTAACTGCCATTGAGCATTGCACTTCGACTGAGGAAGTTTTCAGAAAATGCAGAACTTCATGTGTAATTAACACATTGTTTGATATTGCTCTGCCAGGTACAAAGACAGATTGAGTTTCAGAGATTAGCTCCGAGAGTAGTGGCTGGAGTCGCTTGGTAAGAATCTTGGAGATGATCTTATAGTACACATTGCATAGCGCTATAAGCCTATAGTCCGCTACTGCTTTTGCTCCTTGGATTTTCAGGATGAGCCTCACATGAGTTGCGTTGATAAATCCAGGTAAAGACCCCGTCATAAAAAACTTCTGAATCTCTTTAACTATATCTTTCCCAATAGTTTCTCAATTATAGTGATAAAAGCTTGCAGATAATCCATCTGGGCTATGAGCTTTGTCCACATGAATAAATAATATAGCTTGCTTTACTTTCTCTGCTGATGAGATTCTGATGAGTTGTATATTTGTATCTGCAAATATACGTGAGTGTAGAGCTTTATTAATAATAGTCGAGTTATCAGTTCCCGAGAATGAGAAGAGTTCCTGAAAATACGTGGTAACTACTTATGCAATCTCTCACTTTTTATAAAATGCTTGTTTTTGAAAATCCTCGATTATAGTGAATCTATTAAAAGTATTTCAGCTTTTTATAATGTGAAAATATCCTGAGTTCCAGTTCTCTAGGCTTAGCCATAATGATCGACTTCTCTGTTTCCAATACTCTTTCTTTTCTTTATAAGATTGTGATAACTTTCCTTTAATCTCTGTCAGGATCGCTTCATTATGTCGTGTGTGAGACAGGACTGTCTCCAGGGCTATCTGGTGTTCCTCGATTGGCTTTGGGCTATTCAAATGTTGTTCCTTCCTCAAAATTTTAACAAAAAAAAAAAACATTCAAACCGGTTAATTATCTTCTAAACCGCTGAAATCGGTAGACAAGGCGTGTAAACCGCAAAATCGAATTTAGGGCGCTTTCATCAATCACCAGGAAAAAGAAAAAAGTCAAGAAACAGTTGACCAGTTACAAACGCTTCTCTCATCAATCTCGACTGCTCTCTGCTCTGTGGATACAGAAATCGAATTGGACGAAAATGGGAAAACGAGAGAAAAAACCTAATCGACGTCGTCAGAAAGGAGAATATTCGAATGACGCCGAAGATTTCTACGATCAAAATCCGCCGGCTGTTGCCGCCTCCGTCGAGGAAGAAGAAGAAAACTCCGAGGAAGAAGAAGAAAACGAGGGGAACGGCGAGCTCCAGTCATCGGATTTGCCGTCAAAGTTCCTTTTATACCAACAATCAGTTCAGGTAATAATATTAACTCGCGGCTCTAATGTTTTGGCCTTTTAGATTTCGAGATTACATTTCGTATTTTTATGAATACAGGGTTCTTCTTCTTCTGGCAAATTTTGTTTCCAGTAGTTCGTCTCAGCATAATTGTTTTCATTTGTTAACGAAGAAAATGTGAAATGTTATTCAAGAAAATGTTAACTGTTACCAATCTGTAGCTTAAGCCAAATTTAATCAAATAGTACTTGAAGGGAGAGAGTTCTTGGGTTTGATTATTTGAATAGACCTTTTAATGTGAATCTTTCATGTGATCGATTTATGTTTTGAGGCTGGCCACAGTTCTTGCTTTGATTATACTGTCAAGAAATTTGTCTACTTTTGCGTTTTTAATTGCTAATGCTTTCTGTTTGAAATTAGTATGTATCTCAGGGATGTGATGGGTCATTGTGTTTATGGAAGTAAATAAAATATTTTCTCTTGTTCTCTGTATTAAGCTTTAATCCATTGATTCATGTGTTTTGGTGCAGTCACCAAAAGGAGACATAAGCTACTTGCAGAAGTTCTTCTTGATGTATGTGGGTGGAAGACAGCCTCTCCATTTTCAAGAAGATTTCTGTGGCACTGCTCTTTTAAGGTAAGCGTCATGAGTCACACATTTCGTTTCAGTAAACAGTACGAAACATAGCTCTTGCTGCACTAATTTGATCGTTTGAATAGTGCGGAGTGGCTGAAGGCTGACACAAGGCGGACTGCTATAGGGCTAGATTTCGACCTCGAGGCACTAGAATGGTGCATGGATAACAACATCAGTAAACTCGGCGCTGACGTGTGCTCAAGAATGTCGCTTTTCCACGGGAATGTCTTGAGCCCTCTTGAGGCTAAGCTAGTGAAATCTAAATCACACGAGCTGATACAGAATGTAACATTGGATGATGATGATGGTGATAACGAAGATTCGGTTGATCATGGTGTCGAGTCCTTAGAGAAAGATGAACCTGATTCATTACCAAAGAGGGATATCGTCTGCGCTTTCAATTTTAGCTGCTGTTGTCTCCACAAACGCTCTGAGTTGGTTACTTACTTCAAGAACGCACGCGAGGCTTTGTCCAAGAGAGGAGGTATCTTCGTGATGGATTTATATGGAGGTGCTTCTGCTGAAGGACAGTTGAAGCTTCAACGGAAGTTCCCGAGTTTCACTGTAAGAAAGTATATTGTTATACATCATCAGACACATAAAGATTGAAACTTACTAACGATTGTCTATATCATTTGGCAGTATACATGGGAGCAAACTGAGTTTGATATTGTAAGCCGCAAGACAAGGATCAGTCTGCACTATCATCTTAAGAAGCAGAACAGAAAGATTCGCCATGCTTTTTCATATAGCTGGAGATTGTAAGTGGCCCTGTTACTCTGCTTCCACATCCATTCTTTCTGCAATGTTAGCCTTAAGAAACTTTTACACTATCGAAAAGAAAGCATCTTTATATACAACTAGGGGATTTGCTTAGCTTTTTAGATAACTTGATAAGCGTAAGATGAAGTTTCCTCTGTCATGTTAGGTTCCTGCATCCCCTGGCTTTTGCTTTCTTAGGTTGGTACTTGGTTGGTTGTGTTAGATATCATATAGTGCAGTCTCAAATCAATATATCAAAACTCACACAAGCATGTGCTCGAATGTGAGTGATACTCTGCTTCCACATCCATTCTTTCTGCAACGTCAAGCCTTAAGAAAATCATACATTAACGAAAAGAAAGCTTCATTATATACAATTAGGCTTTATAGATAACTTGATAAAGTCTCATCTGTGATATTAGGCTCCTGCATCACCTGGCTCTTGATTTCTATGTTTGGTTTGAAGAGTAAGATATCATAGCGTGCAGTCACTATAGATTACAAAACTCACACATGCATGTGGAGCAATATGTTAGTGAGTTATACTTGTGTTGGCGGATAAGTAGCAGCAATATGTTCATTGATGACTACAGATTTTATGGTACTTGCACTATTGAACATGGATCTATGATTCAGTTTTAAGTTCCTGAGAAGTAATTCCATTTATGTTCATGCGTTTGTAGGTGGTCATTGCCGGAGATAAAGGACTGTATGGAGGAAGCCGGATTTAGATCAGTGCATTTTTGGCTTAGGGAAATGCCGGAAGCTTCTGAGATGCGTAGAACAGATGGGTTTGGTGCAGGACGTGATATCAAGTACGAAGAAGTTAAGAGCTTTCAACAGTGTGATGCTTGGAATGCTTACATAGTTGCTGTCAGCGTCTAGATTTAACCGAATAGATGGTTTAAGTCTTTTAACTGGAACCCACCCCAACCAGGCCAATAGAGTTGGTTTTTTTTTTTTTTTTTTTGTGGCTAACAACTTTTCATTCATCCAAAACGATTACATCGCATGGTTTTCACCCTCTACAATTGGCAACGTAGAATACAACTTGGGAACATAGTTCTCGTAAGAAAGAGCTTCCCTAGCTATCCTATCAGCCACATAGTTTGATTCTCTAGGATTGAAAACTACCTTGGCTTTCTCTAAACGTGTGAGGAGATGGTGGAGTCTTGAGTTGTAGCTTTAAGCGCTGGCCATCCTTCTGCATCCTCTATTGCTTCTACCACTTCTTTAGAATCAGATTCAAAAATTATATTCTTGTAGTTAAAGTTTGTTGTTGTGAGAACAGCCCATCTCAATGCTTCAGCCTCCGTTTCCAGTGCCGATCTGAGCAACGGTAGTCTTAGTCTTCTAGCTCCCATCCAAAGCACTCAGCCATGATCATCTCTGAGGGCCTATCCAACTTCACAGAGGTTTCGGTCCTTAGACCATGTTCCATCAACATTACATTGAAGCCAATTATGCGGTGGAGGGATCCAATGTGTTCTTGCAGCTTTGACAGTAGCACTTATTTTTCTCTGAATTTCAACCTCTTCTATTGCACCACTTATTCATATCCCCTCTTGCTTTTTTCACCGTGGTTTGGGCATCGAAGTCTATTCCTTTGATGAGGTAATCATTATGGTTTTTCCAGAGTCTCTACATCAGCCATGGACTAAAATTTCCAAAGTCAGCCTCTTGGGGGAAAGTTTTTGCGATTGTAAACACTCTATGGAGATTGCTGAAGAGGGAGTCTGCCATTTTCCCTTTTGGAGGGGCTGGTGTGTAGGATAGAGCCCAAACCAATCTAGCAAAAGGACATTGGAAGAGAAGATGGTTCACTGATTCCTCACCACTCTGGCATCTGCCACAAACTGAATTTTTTATAATGTGTCAGTTTTTTAGGTTTGCTGTGACAGGTAGGCAACCGCTTAGGCATCTCCACAGGAAATGTTGGATCTTTGGGCTCGTGTCTGCTTGCCACATTGATATATCGGGTCCAGGCTTGGTTGATTGACTTCTGGTGACTCTCCTCCTCCACTAAGGAGTTTCACAAGGGTCCAATACCCTGATTTGACGATGTAGTGGCCTGACTTGGTGAAATCCCATCAAAAGGAGTCTTCGGCCGAGCTTCCTCCTGGTCTGATTTCCTTAATCAATTGTATATGTTCCTCACGGAAGATGGAGTTTAGAAGCTCAGCGTTCCACTCCCTTGCGCCTGGGAGCAGCAGATCTTTAACGCGGAAGAAGGTCAAGGTGTGGTTTTGCATCTGAGGTACAACCCACTTAGTGAGTTACAGGGGCTGTGCCGGCTTTCTGTCTATCCACTGGTCTTTCCATATGAGCGTACTTTCGCCATTCCCTATTACAGCTCTTGCTCCTTTCCTTAGGAGGTTTTGAGCGTTATGATGCTTCTCCATGCGTATGGTGGCCTGGATCCAAACCCAGCATTAATAGGATCAGAATCGGCAAAGTATCTGGCTTTGAAAACTCTTGCCATGAGGGTATGCTTTTGGGTGAGCATTCTCCGTAGTTGTTTCCCCAATAGCGCGATGTTGAAAGCCTCGATATCCTTGAATCCTAGACCACTTTTTTTCTTGGATCTGCTTAAGTTGTCCCACGATTTCCAGTGCATTCTTCTCTTTTCTTTGTTCGACCTCCACCAAAAGTCTGAATAATGGTAGCTATCTGCTTACATATTGTCTTAGGGATTAGGAAGCATGCCATTGTGTATGTAGGTAGCGCAAGGGCCATTGCTTTGAGGAAGACTTCTTTACCGCCTGGGGATAGGAATTTATTTTGCCACCCATCAATCTTCTTTTGCAACATATCCTTTAGATATCTCAAAATGGATACTTTTTCTCCTCCAAAAGATTCTGGGAGTCCTAAATAGATCCCATCCCCTCCCTCTTCACTGATGCCTAGCTTCCGTTTGATATTTTCTCTTTTTTCCTCCGGAATCTTCTTGCTAAAGTAGATGCTCGATTTATGGTAGTTGATGCTTTGTCCAGACGCCAAGCTATATTCTTCCAAAATACTCAATATCTGCCCCATCTCTTCATCACTGGCTTTACAGTAGAACATGTTGTCATCCGCAAATGAAAGGTAAGACATCGGGGGTGCCGTTCGAGCTATTTTGTGAGAAGCTTTTCTTTCTCCGTTTTCCTCAGCATTCTGACTAACATTTCAGTACAGATAATAAACAGGTACGGAGAAATGGGACCTCTTTGCCGGATGCCTCTGGTAGGGACTATATTTCCGAATGGTTGTCCATTGATTAGGACTTGGTAAGTTACTGTGGTTACCCAAGCCATGATTAGCTTAATCCAATTTTCAGCAAAGCGTAGAATCCTTAAGGCATTTTCCAGGAAAGACTATTCGACCCTATCAAAAGCTTTTGAGATGTTTGTCTTAATCGCAATAAATTCTTCTGCACATTTATTATTTGACTTTAGAACATGAAGCATCTCATGAGCTACAAGGATGTTATCTGAGATAAGTCTACCTTGAATGAAAGCAGCCTGGATGTCTGATATGACAAATGGTAGAACCCTTCGGAGCCGCTTAGACAGGACTTTGGATAGAATTTTATAAGCAACATTACTGAGACTGATCAGACGATATTCAGCCATCTTCTCTGCCAATAGAATTGGTTTACTCTCTAGCTTATGCTTAGTATAATTATTAAGCTATGAAACCTGACAATGATTTATATCTGTTTTTTTTTAGTATTTCTTACTCCATAGTCAAAAAAAAATGTATGAATTTTTGATTAAAATGATGATCGACAGCTTTTTTTCATAAGGAACTTGAATGTAAAAACAAAAATATCTGGAAAATGATCGGACCAGTTGATCAATTATCGTTTTGAGAAAGTATGGCCAAAGTTTTTTTAATTTAAATTGTAAATAAATTATTTAGTATAAAATTGTTTAAGATAAGAGTTTTTTTGTGACGAACCAATTCTTTATGAACAGTTTGTATGATTTTAGAGTATTTTAGCAATTTGTGAATAACTTGCATCAACGGTTTCCATAGCCCTGGGCATTCGGGTATTCGGGTCGGTTCCGGATCCGACCCGATCGGTTCCAGTTCTTTCGGGTAAAGAAATTTTATACCCATATAGGTACCGAAAAGATTTCGATTCGGGTTCGGTTCGGTTCCTATCGGTTTCGGGTCGGTTCGGTTCTTAAATCTCAGAACCATTTAAAACCCAAAAAACGGTTTTTTTATAATTTCAGTTCGGTTCGAGTTTTTTTTATCCGATTAGACCCGAATTCGTTGAAAATGTAACCATATACCCGAAATGTAACCAAATACCCGAAAAACAACTGAACTTTTTTTGAAATACTAATTTTTTCGTCAACTTAAAAACTGATTTCCGGATTGAATATAACTCGGAATCAGTAACGGAAAGAAGATCTGGATAGCTGACTGCGAGACCTACTTAACGGTATCTAGATGGTCCTCTGGGTCCATCTAGTACGTCAGAAAATCGCTCTACAAAATTCTAAGTGCATAAAGAAATTTTGTTTCGGTTAACCGATCGGGTATTGGGTAGGAACCAGAACCGACCCGATACCCACGGTTCCTAAATTTAATACCCATCGGGTAAATAGCCTATAACCGAACCCGATCCGAACCGGTTATTTCGGGTCGGTTCCGGTTCGGGTTTTCGGGTTCGGTTTTTTTTGCCCAGGGCTAGGCTTCCAGTGTATCAACAGGACCCAATTTATACTTGGAGGATCGATCGATCGATGACATCTCCACAGTTATTTACTAAACCAAATTTGAATGGTTTTCATATTAATACATGTACCTAAGATTGTGCAATACCTCTCTGATTCTACGACCTACAATTTTGGGATCAATATCTGGCATAGCGTTAAGCCTCTCCGAACTGGTTGCTTGTTGATTCTGTGAAAAACTAAATAAAGATGCTCTTCTCAACAAAGGTTCACAAACTAGAGATCAATATCAAGAGAATAAGATGCTTAGAAAGCTCTGAATATTATTGATGATAAAAGTGATGATCTTTTACAAAAACTATGGACCTCTTTATATAGAAATGAAATATGTATAAACATAAGTTTAGCTGAAAGATAAAGTCTAATATGCTAAAACAAAGGGATCTTCAAAGTGATCAGATACGATGAGTATGGAAATTGGATCTAACGTTAAAGATGTGCTGCATCAGGTTTCCCCCACTAGGAATGAGATTCGCTTCTGAATGTGGATCGATATTGTCCCCCTTGTAAGGACTGAAAAAATTTATATTAAACACATCTACAGTTTTGATGTGCGACGTAGTATTTGAGTTATCTTCTTTAGCACCTTAATTGGAATATTTTTACGTAATCACAGCTTGTTATACTCATGAAGCGTCATCTTGTCATTTATCAATTACACCCAAACCAAACACCCGGAGATAACAAAACCTCAAGTCGATGTTTATCAGCAGTCTTCTTGTAACTCAACGCAGAATTTTGAAGATTATCCATTACCGCAGAATGTACATCCTGATATACTTGAACAAATGTATGAACAGGCCTATGCATTCGTAAGATATCAGAAATAGTAGAAAAGTCCAACGTGCCATGCAGAATGACACTAGACACCAGCTGAAAAGGAAAAAAACCTAAGGCTACGACTCTTTGCACGATTATGCGCAAACTCCACATGTGGCAACTTTAATTCCCAACCTTAAATATGATCATCAACTAGACTTCTCAACATGTTCTCCAACGCACGGTTAGTCACTTCTATCTGACCGTCAATTTGTAAATGGTACATTGTGCCCATATCCAAATTTGTATTGAGAAATTTCCAAACCGAGCACCAAAAATGATTTAAAATATTTGTGTCTCAATCAGACATGATCGAAGTAAGCAGCCCATAAATATGATAGACCTCTCTGAAAAAAAAATCGCTTTACAACTACTGCACCAATAGTCCGTTTACAAGGTATAAAGAGGACCATTTTCGAATATCTATCCATCACCATAAAAGTTGAATCATTCCCTTACTGTGTTTGCGGAAAACCCAAGATTAATACATGCTTACATCAGTCCATGGTT